TCAACACAGTAAAGGAGGAGACTATATTTAAAAGAAGAAAAGCTACCACAACAAGAGGACATATTCTTAAATTAGAGGGACATAGGTTTAAAAATAATATCAGGAAGTATTACTTTACTGAGAGGGTAGTGGATGCATGGAATAGCCTTCCAGCTGAAGTGGTAGAGGTTAACACAGTAAAGGAGTTTAAGCATGCGTGGGATAGGCATAAGGCTATCCTAACTATAAGATAAGACTAGGGACTAATGAAAGTATTTAGAAAATTGGGCAGACTAGATGGGCCGAATGGTTCTTATCTGCCGTCACATTCTATGTTTCTATAGGATTTATAATTGAAGATTTACCCAAACATACTGTACCCCTTTCAACAACAATGAATAATGTAAAATCTGACACTCATTGTGTGCGGGTTGATTGCTACAAGAGTATTGTATTGGGTTTATCTTTCTGTGAATTATAAAATAGAAAATGGGAGATACAATTTGTAACTTTTCTTATTATTCTGGCATTACCATTGCTGCAAACATAAAGATTAATAACGAATATGACATAAGAGCAATGTGTTATACAGAAGAGCAGCAGAATAAATTCAAAATTGGCTTACTGCTCTTCCACTGAGTGCAGCTCTGCTATTGTGATGTCATAGATGTGATCTGATGTCACACACCGGCACATGTTGCTTGCATTTGTCAGCATTGTTAATCTACAATAACTGGTTCATAACCAGCTCCACAAGGCACGTTGACGGTCTAGCAGGGTTATTCACTAAAGTGAGAATCCAAGTGAATTTCAAATTTAACGTCCGAATTAGCTAATCACAGGTGCGATCATAAACAAACACCATGATTAGATCACTGGTGCACATGAACAATACTGCAAGGTAGTGCTTTTATTCCTTACCTGCCTCAACATAGACTTATACGCATATAGAGAAAAGAGCGGGGAAATATTTTTATATATAATTTTATTTTTCCATTATCTCAACAAAATCACAGCCATAAAAAGATACATCTTAAACAATTGATGCTCAAAAGTATTACTCAGTACAGTAAATTTCAAGATCAGAAAGTGGAAGGAGAGAAGGAAACAGGAAGAGAAAAAAAAAAAAAAGGAGAAGAGGGCGAGAGGTTAGGGAAGAACTCATCAATGTACATCAAAACAGATTAACCAGTTATTACTATATGAAATATTAAGACATATTTCATCTTCATTCCTTTCTCATCGATTCTTCCCTATTCTTCTTACCCCATCCTCTTTTAGTTTCACTATTCCACACTTCCATCTTTCGATGTTATATTCTGAATTAAACCATACATATTCCAGTTTCAAACTAACAGGGAAAAGTAAATCTAAACCCCAGCCTGGAGGTATAATAGGGCCACGTGGTTTGAGGGAGCTATGATAGTGTGGCTACCAGCTGTACAGAGCAGATCGAATATCTGTATAAATATCAAGACCTTAAGAGGTTAACACAGTAAAGGAGTTTAAACATTTGTGGGATAGGGATAAGGCTTTCCTAACTATAAAATAAGGCCAGGGACTAATGAAAGTATTTAGAAAATTGGGCAGACTAGATGGGCCGAATGGTTCTTATCTGCCGTCACATTCTATGTCTATGTTTCTATAAGGCAGTCATCTCGCACCCAGGGACCATGGAGACGCTTGGCACCATTCACCATGCCTTCATGAAGAACGAAGGGAAAGCTGGCCCAGTAACCTGCCAAGAGAAGGACATAGAATAAGCTGGAGGAAACGCTCTTGGATAATAGAACACTCCAGGGCGGCAGTTAGAACCTTCCCATTCCTTCCCTCGCCAGGCAGCACGTACGCAAGAGGAGGAGGGATATTGAATATCAGGGTTATTTACTATAAAGTGAGAATTCACTGAAAGTCAGAGTGAATTTTAAAAAGTCAAGGCCAACATAAACAAACTGAAAAAAGTCTTTAAATCCACAATACTTTGGCCTTAAATTTGAAATTCACCAGGAATTCCCTGAAATTCTCACCTTAGCGAATAATCTGAATGTGTGTTTGTATGTCAATATAAGCGGATTTGTATGTTAGTGTATCTACACTAACATGCTGGCGTATTAACATGTATCTATGTTTGCATGCAAGTTCTGTGTGTTACGAATTAGGACGGGGTACGTGGCAAGTTCTGTGTATGCATGCGCAGGCCTCCCAACTGTCCCAATTTTGGCAGGACAGTGCCTATTTCAGAGTCCTGCCCCGCCATCCTCGATTTGGCCCCTAAAGTGTGACACCAGGGAATTATCCCTAGAAATCACACCAGCGCATCATTAAACCTGCTTTGTGTGAATAAAGGTGGAGGTGGGTTTGGGGCCCCAAACATAGTTAGGGTGGTCCTGATTCCCAGTATCCATCAGATCAAATCAAAGAAGTGGGAGACGTCATTGTGTAAAAAAAAAAAAAAACTCAATTGGTGTTTCTCAACTATTAAATAATTAAATCAATAAAACAAGTGTTTTACCCTTGGGTTTTGAAACTCTCTGAAGGTGTCATTCATACAACTGACAGTCTGAAATATTAGACAAATACACAACCACACCTCCAACTTGGCTTCCTTATAGATCAGGGACAGGGATTGTAAATTAACACTTAAATATAAATGTGCTATTTGTGGAGAGAGTTAATTGTAATGTTAGATTGCAATATCATTAGCCTCTGGCACACAGAGGGTTAATTTCATTCATTCCTGGCGTGTAGACAGTTAATTATATTAAGCTCCACAACTCAGACTGTTAATATTGCATTCCCTCCAGCACACAGACAGTTAATATCACACACTCTCTCCAGCACACAGACAGTTAAAACTAATAACCTCTGGTACACAAACAGTTAATCACTAAGTTCTAGCACACAAACAGTTAATATCACTAGATTCCAGTACACAGACAGTTAATACTATTAAGCTCCGGCACACAGAGAGTTAATATCACTAAGTTCCAGTACACAGACCGTTAATACTATTAATCTCCAGCACACAAACAGTTAAACATTCCATCAAACATTGAATCTACTATAAAAGTCTCTTACCTGAAGCCCAAGACACATTGGGGAGATCCTCTCCTGCAGCACACAGAAAAAAGAATGATGGAAACAAGGGGACTAACCTCCATCCTCCACCTCATACCCACCCACCCCCGGGTGATCAGATTTATAGATCTAGGGCTCCACCCCCTTCCAATAAGCAATCAATAACACATGGGCAACACATTAACCCTTTCCTGGCTGTGCCTCCAAACCATTAACCCTTTATTGGCTGCCCCACCCAATCATTAACCCTTTATGGCCCCATCCCTTCCAATTAGCAATCAATCACACCTGGGCAGCACATGAACCCTTTCCTGGCTGATGCTACAAACCATTAACCCTTTCCTTGCTGATCCAACTGATTAACTCTTTTATGGCTCTGCCCCTTAACCTGACCAGCATAACCAATCCATACTAAACATTAACCCAGTCCTGGCTTCACCCCTTCCAATCCACAATTAATATCACCTGGGCAGTACATTTACCTTCCCCTGGCTTCTCCCATCAGCCATTAATATCACCCAGACCTGGCTTTGTGTCCTAGCACTAAACAAGGACTTTGAACTTGTGTAGAATGTAAGCTCTTCTGACTCATGTCTATAATAATATCAGCCTCTGTAACAGGGAATGTAGGCTTCTATTTGACCAGTTTCCATACCTAACAAGAAGTGAAAGTACATTAGAAATAGATTATATGATTTCACTTTAATACACTCTGGGTAACAGCCTGGAATAAAAACAAAACCTAGACCATAGTGTAGTATATCATGTGAGTGCTGATCCTCTCATTAGCAGGCTCACACTTGAGTATTTCTGTATTTCTTTTGGCAAAAGTGATGGAGCAAACTTGGTCCTGTATAAGAGATATATCGATGATATTTTTATTATCTGTCATCTTATATGGAGAGGAGATAAAGAGCCTTTATTGGAATTTTTAAAAGATCGTAATGTCAATGATTGGAATATTATGTTAACCTATGAAATAAGTGATACTAATCTTAATTTTAATTTCAACAGGCTGATGTCAATAGTTATATTGGCCTTAAAAGCTTCCATTTTAAATCCTGCCTGATAAATATACTTAAAGGTCGGTTTTTCTGTCTTAAAAGAAATTTCACCGACGTGAAGGTTTTTACTAAACAGGCACGAGTTTCTAAGTAAAGACTATAATGCTAATTTGGTCATATATAAGCTTTTTTTTAATGTACTCTCCCCATTGTTATTATTAAGATTTTTAAGTGTGTGTGTGTGTGTTTATATGAGTGGTTAAACACAAGGTGATCGTCGCTGAGTCAGCAAGCTATGGCATGTGAGGCTGCCAGAAACAAATAAGCTGGGGCAATCTGAAGGTTCTCCTCCAAAAATGGCCAGACAGAGGATCTCCTCCGGGGTGGGCCAGACACAAACGGGCTGGAGCAATCACAGGATCTCCTCCAGGGATGGCCAGACAGAGGATCTCTTCCAGGGCAGGCCAGACAGAGAATCTCCTCTGGGGCGGGCCAGACAGAGAATCTCCTCCGGGGCGGGCCAGACAGAGCTCCCAGTAGAACTTCTTCAGATATCTGCTAGTGCCTGATTACAGTGGGAGGTGAGAGGCAGTAACAATAGAAATAAATAAATACTAATGTATAAAAGTACGATGCATTCTGTATATTTATTGTTTGGTATAAAAAGTTGTACCTTAAATTGTCACTTCAGATACATATTAACACATTTTAAGCAATATATTCGATCACTAAGCACTCCACCATATACTTCACACAGTGCCCACTCTGCCCCGGGGAAGCCACCATCCTGCTGCTAAATGGGAAGCAATGTCACTGTGTGTGTAGTGGTGTGTGTTAACGTCTGTGTAGCATTGTGTGTGCCAAGGCCGTGTACATTGGAAGGATACCCAAACTGCTCTCCCACAAACGCATCTCCAACAGCCCACATACGCACAAACACATCAATACAAAGCAATTGCAGCAATCATAATAGCACATAGGCAGCATTTGGCAACATACAAATACGTTGATACATTTTAAATAATAGGACTCGCATGCCAGGGGAATGTAAAGTCTCGATGGGGCACAGTGCTGTAACAGGTTGCCTTCTTCTGGCCTAGACTGACATTGATTGCAGGTAGAGCTCTCTCTACAGAGCTATCACTGTGGTTTACATTATAGGGTTTTTCATTAAATAGGGAATTGTAAACCAAACTGCCCAAAAACTAAATGAAGTGTCCAAAATGATCCAACTCTGCCTTAGTCACATTTTGTAATTCAGTCCACATTTAACGGTTCGGTGAAAAAACAGTATTTCATTCTCCTTGAATAATTACGCCGTTTGTGTAGGAGTGAGTAGTTTATTACAAGGAAGGATTTTATCATTTGAAGTGGAATACACCATGAACCATCTTATATTTTAACCTCCAAAATATGTTGGGTTTTGTCATCTTAGACCCTTGTGTTTTCAGGTGCAGAATAAAAAGATCCCAAACTCCTTGATGTCCACTTGGAGGCGCCCTTGAGGGTAGAGTTTGTTGTCCCATGCTGGAGAACATTATTTCATTTAGCCTTTTGGCTAGAATTAGCTAAGTGACTGACTACCACTAGAATAATTTGATTATGCAGATTATGTGGCTCGTCCTCTGAATTCAGATTCTCGATAGTTGGTGATTTTGGGGACACATCAATGCTGACTAAAACCAATAAGAGAATGCACAGTGAAATTAGATACAATTTAAACAAAATAATTTATTTAGAGGAGAGGACGGTACTCAATACAGTTTTGCAACATATTATAATGTGAATATAAACCCACAGGACAATACTGAATATTTTCAGGATATTCTGGAACTGTATTAATATAATATGTTACTTGTAATGATTCTATATTTATGTGCAGCAATTTTTATGTGGATATATGCACATAATGCCATATGGATCTGCCGCACATAATGTAGATATGTCACAAATTTTATTCTCAAATTATATAGAACATAATATAGACATATAACAAATTATAATGCTAATTGTATTTAAAGAAACATCCCGAGCACCATAACCACTACAGTGTGCTGGAGTGTTTATATTGCCAGTTGTGCTCTGGTGACTCCACCCTCCGTCATTGTTGGTATTCAAATAATTTTAAAATGGTTACATTTTTTTACCTCGACAGTCTAACAGTGTTATTTAATAAAGTGAGAATTCCAAGTGAATTTCAAATTTAAAGGGACACTCCCAGCCTCAAAACAATTTCATTTAAATTAAGTTGTTATGGTGGCAAAAGGCCCTTGAGGGCATTCTATCCTTAAGAGGTTAAACCGTTCTCGACCAGTTTAACCCTAAAGTTGCCTCCAGCGGTGATATCCACTCCCCTCCAGGCGGCATCCAGCTTCTGAAATTTCACTTTCAGGACGCGCGGAGTGCTGCTGGGCAGGGGTGCCTCTGATTGGCTGAGAGCAGTCAGCTGACGCCATCAGCCAGTCAGTGACTCCCCATTAAAAACTAACTTGGAAGGTAATGGTGCAATGCCCTAATCCCAGATTTTTCATGCAGCCACAAGTGAAACATTTGAATTACACAATAAAGAACGTACTAGGAAAGTACATACTTATCCTTCCAAAGTAACCCTATTAATGAGATTCCTGCAGCTTTTAAATAATTAGTTTCCTTTCTTTCTTCCGATTTGAGACCAACGGGGTCAATGCAGCTGCCAATCTTGATTTCATATATTGCGCTCTAACAGGAGTCGTCCCTGGATTTTCCGCCCAAGCCTCTGGCACACGGGTCCTGTGAGGGGATGGAGATATCAATTAGTTATTAATGATCGGGTTTGATCAGTAAAAGTATTTACATTACAGATCGGTCAACGTAAGTCTTCACAATAAAGAGAATTCACTTTAAAAAGTTGTAGTATCTCACCTTCCAGAAAAAAGCCTAGAGTACTACACAAAATAGGTGTAGGGGCACTTAAATGGAACACTCAGGTTAAAAATAAAAATATTATTTTTCCTGTAAATGAGATGGTTATTATTAAAAAAATAAGTGGTACACAATTCAAGATCAAAGATCACACCGTCTACGCTCTGCCGGAGACCTACGTCTATCCTCTGTCCATACTCCCATCTCTGATGTTCGCCTTCAAGACTTCTCCCGGGCTGCACTGTTCCTGTGGAACTCCCTTCCCTTCTCTGTTAGACTCTCACTCAGTCTCCACTCCTTCAAAAAAATCATTGAAAACTTACTTCTTCAGGAAAACATATCAATTAAACTGTTACTAGCTCCCACCCCTGTAACCAGATTCCTCTCTTGCAACTGTAAAACAAATATATTTTTTAAAAACACTGAGTCTTCAGTGAAAACTATTCTACCAACCTACTTTTCCATCCCTACCCTTACCCTTTGTGTCACTTTACCCCACTCCCTCTAGCATGTAAGCTCACCAAGCCCTTAACCCACTGTTCCTGTGCGTCCAATTCGTCTACAAAGACGTGTCTGTTAGTTCACCCATTGTACAGCGTTGCGTTATTCATTGGCACTTTATAAATAATAACAACAACATGATGTGTTGTACATTCTGCAGGGTCCATGTGGCCAAATCTACTATGGAAGGAGACCCTCCTAACCAATCTACCATCTGCACGAAATTTGGCACTACTGATTTCTCCGCATTTGTTTTCGGAGGCTCCTCATAATATTACACAGAAAATGTGAAGTCATAGAGACACACCCCAATCACAACAGAGATGGAACAAATTTAAGGGATTAGAATAAAGTGAAGAGTTCTGGATTAAAAACATTTGTAGATGTCGTAATCATGAGAATGACTTTTCGTTTTTATTGTAATTCATTTTCCCTCTCTCTCTTTTCTTTACACATATTCACACATCATTTTATTTTTCCCATTCTATGAATTGAAGGTTTTATCCCTTGCATATATTTGATGAGAGTTTACATTCTAATACTTTACGTACTTTAATGCCATTTATAAACACTTTTTAGTGTACATTAGAATAATGTACCTCTTATTACAAAGTAAGATTTTGTATATCTCAGTTTATGAGACTGAATTACAAGAAATTAGTCGATGTATTTTTTATTAAAATATATAAAATTGAAAACAGATACAATAGAACCATTTAACTTAAAATTAGTTGTAAAATATCTAATTAAACACATTACACTATTAAAGTTCAAATAATTACAGTTCTCAGTCTCTTTATTATTAATATAAAGTAAGGTACAACAGCTAAATTAAAGTGATTTACTGTTCCCTGTATGACAAACTTCCATGTGTTGTATGGTATACCACTGACAACACAGATTTATTTAAACTTTTTATTGTAATTTTAAATTGTACATTTGTAATGATATTTTTTTATTGATGTGACATTTTATGTATAATGACAATGAAGGCAAATTTTATGATATTAGTTGGTTTACACCACATGATTTACTGAGTATTTAGAAAATTGGGCAGACTAGATGGGCCGAATGGTTCTTGTCTGCCGTCACATTCTATGTTTCTATGATCTATTAAATCCACCTATTAATATTTAATGTGCACCCTGAGTGTATGGCTTGCCCAAGGTCCATCAAAATAAATTAAAATCCCTCAGCCTTTGTATCAGTATGTGACTTTATTCAGTTACCAACACGATGACACGACAGCAGTTTCAAACCTCATAGCTCTTTGTCAAGCCTCGACTGAACACAACATTATTACCTGTTTTTAGCAACAATTTAAGGTCTAAATTTTTATTTTATTTATTTTTTGGGTCATCAATTTACACTTTTAAACATGATATTTGTCGTCAGATTTTAGAAGAATAGTTTTAAGAAACACCATATTATAAAAGGGATAGCATTTACTAGCTTTTGCCTAACTGAAAATATTCTGCAGATATTTTATAACCCTTAATACAAATAGTTAAATTATTCATTTATTTTCTGTTTTTTACATCTTAGATTTTGGTGATTTTTTCTAATATATATATATTTAAATATTGCTCAATATAATCAGGATGCACATAAATACATGATATTGAAGAAACATCAAGTCTTCCACAAGAGGGAGACAACGGACCCCGGATAGAACTGTTATACAGTAATACAGTGGTTCCTAAACTTTTTAGGTTCAAGGTGCCCTTAATATTTCAGTATTTTTCCAAGGCACCCCCAGTCAAAATTTCTAGTTTGTGTATCTGTACAGCGCTTCGGCATTTACTGGCGCTATCGTGTAATGTACAGTGTTGGTGTTTGAAGGGGTGCTTGTATATAGTTATTGTGTGTTAATACAGGGGTGTGTTTGTATGTGCTGTTTGTGATAGATTGCAGGGGTGTTTGAATGTAATGTTCGCTTTTAATTGCGGATGTACATTTGTGTGACGTATTTGTGTGAGTGAAGGGGTGTGTTTGTATATTTTTATGGAGTTGGGATGCAGGGGTGTATTTTTATGTAATATTTGTGTTAGATTGCAGGAGTGTGCTTGTCTGTTGTGCTGGTGTTTGACTGCTTGGATGTATGCACATACACTATCACATACATACTTACACAGATATTCGTGCACATTACCACACAGATACATATAAATACACTGACAAATACACACAAATTAATATAGACACCGATACATACACACACATAGATACACACCGACATATACACACATGAACCCTGACACACACAAACATTGATACATGCACACACCATGACACAGATACACAATGACAAAAAAAAAAACACACCCTGACACACAGATGCACATACACAGATGTGTGCGCACACACAGACACAGAAGCACACTGACATATATATATATACACATACACACACACACAAACACACACAGATGCACACCCTGACACACACACACTCACAAACACCCTGACACACACACACTCATACATAAATGAATACTGTCACACACACACACACACATACACATGTGATATTTTTTTTAATATCTCCAGCCACCTCCTGTTAGCTTAACAAGAAAAAAGAAAGCCGTCTAAGCTGTTAGCTTACCTTAAGTGTCCAGGAGGGTGGCTTGGAGTCCTGCTGCTGCTGGTGGGATTGAGGGGTCTGGAGCAGCTCCTACAGGGCTCCTCTCCCCTCACACTGTGGCTGCCTCCTCTCCCTTCCACGCTGTCTCCCTGCATGATGCTGGGAGGAAGTGACAGGTTGTTTTGCTATCACTATACTCCGTCACAAAATGAAGAACATTAAGATGGAGGAATTTCCTCGATTCTAGACATTTCATCAGATGCTGGAGGGAAGGGAGGTGAAGGGGTTAATGACTAAGGTGAGAATTGCTGAGAATTCATAGTTAGTTTCAAATTAAAAGGTCAGAATAATTAACAACAAAAAACTACTAATACAGTAAAATTTAATTGGCGCTT